GGTCAAGGGGAAGTAAGGAAATGAGGTGTGGTGACCCATACTTAAAGGCCAAAGCCAAAAACCCCTTTTTACCCTTGGTCTGCCATCGATGGCCAGCAAGGCACACCAGTGGCCGGCAGGTGGCCGGCGGCCCTCTCTTGTGGCGGGCGGCTTTCCAAGGATTTTCCCTATGTCGCTGGTTCTGTTTTGTGTTCTTGGATTCTAAGAAGTGAGGGGACTGTTCATTGTTTGGTTTAGAATGCCTCCATGGAAACTCATAACTGCATTTTCAGTGCACGGTGTTCGACACTCATTAACATAAGCAAGGTGTATCCTTTTTAACAACTTGCAACTTTTTTGAGAAGTAAATTAGAAGTTGTTCTTGAATTAGTTTTGACGAATATGCTTTTGTTATTACATAGAATATGTGTTTCTTTGTTGTTGCATGGAACATGCATTCCACTTATACTGTCGCATAGAACATGCTCTTATTCTAGTTGCATAGAATGTCCTTCCACTCTTGCATTATGCATAGAACATGCTTATTGCTTTCGTTCTTGAATCATGCATGAAATATATGCATTTGTCTTCGAATCTTGCATAGAATATGCTCCCGTTGCCAATCATGCATAGAATATGCTCTCAAATTGTTTGGTTCGCATAGAACATGCTATTATATCCCAATTGTTATCGTTCATAGAATATGTGTTTCCTATTCGTTATGCATGCATAGAATATGCGCTTATCCATTATTGCATAGAATATGCACTTCTCTATTGTTACATAGAATATGCTTTCATGCATGCTTTCATGGACAGAAAATGCACTGTCGTTTCATAGCACGCTTTTGTACTCAGGCACGATATTGTATGTATAGTCCATTCAGAGGAGTTCCAGGTAAAATCATTCGTGCCCTTCGAATCATATCATTTTACTCTCCTGTCTCTCACATGCAACGCATTAGGATAAACTCTTCGGTTACCGTCCTTCGGTTAAAAACATTTGTGTGCATCCTGATGCTCATACCACCCTTCGGTTACCGTCCTTCAGTTAGAAACATTTGAGTGCGTCCTTATATTCATACCACCCTCCGATTACCCGTTCTTCAGTTAAAAACATTTGAGTGCGTCCTGATGTTGTCCTTCGGTTAAAAACATTTGTGTGCGTCCTGATGTTCATACCATCCTTCGGTTAAGAACATTTAAGTGCATCTTGATGTTTATGCCATCCTTCGGTTATCGTTCTTCAGTTAAAAACATTTGGTGCGTCCCGGTGTTCACACCATCCTCGTTTCCTTCTACATGCAACGTGTTAGGATCTTGTTTGACATCTCCGGTACACCTAATGATTTTGTTGCTCTTGGTCTTTCCTGCGCGTAGCGTAGTTAAGCTTGTATAATTTTCTTACATCTTTTCGGCAAGAAATGTGGTTTGGCTCGTAATTCCCACGCATGGCGTGTTTGTTTACTTCTTTTCATGATTGAGATTGATGTGCCCTATTTTGGTCTGTTAACTGTGGCATTTTCATTGCATTGCGTTGGCATTTAAATGTTTTATTGCACAGTCTCATTGTATGATCATAAGTTATGTTCTTGCATCTTGCCCTAGAACTACGCTAGTTTGATTCCTTGCAAAGGGATACGTAGGCAGGCTATGGGCGCAACCATTTGCTTCCTGTCTTGATTGTTTGTCCAAGTCTTATAGCCATGTCAAAATAGGTCGTCTTTGGGCTTTGACATTTACTCACGTCATTACGTGACTCCAAATTTTGTCAAAGAGGGGCAACTGTAGACACCTCATTTTTTACGGCCTTTTAAGACTTGGATGTTCTTGCAGGTACATCCGATCATGAGTCTATTTGATTTTCGAACGCTCGAAGTCTCCAGTGGAATGCATAGCTTTGAGCATTTCAAACCCTGCATCCATTTTGTCTCATCTTTGGACCATGCCTAGGTCTTTTCAGCATGAAGTTTCAAATGGCCTGTCGGCCATCCTTGGAGGCTGCCTACCACCATTTCTCCTTTGCTGGCCATTGATGTGCCCTGCCGAGCATTAATGAAGCCTTGCCGGCCATTACTGATAGCCGGCCAGCCACCAATGTCCCTTGCAGATATTTTGTGCCAACTGTTTGCACAGATTCATGCATCTTCCAACACATGTATGGCTAGATGTTTGTGAGAAAATTTTGTGTTTTTTATATATAGGACCCCTTTCTCTCATGTGAGGGGGTTAGAAAATTTTGAGACACAAAAATTTTCTCTCTCTAGATTTCTCTCTCTTTCTCTGCAAATTTGTGTGTGTTTGCTTGGTTTCTATACACTTTAGCCTACATCTCCTAATCCAAATCCTCTCACCTTTGAGCTGAGGTTACTTGGGGCCTTCTTGGAGCTCTTGGAGGTGGTTTTGGCTTGAACTTGTGCCTAAAAGTGTTCTTTGCTTCAAGAGGTAGAATGCTAGCCTTGTTAGGTTGCTTTTAATACTTGTTTTTTCTATCTTCTTTCAACTGTTTTAAGGCTAGTTTTGAACTGTGAGAGCTCTATTTTTATGACTTCAAAGTGTTGGTTTGAGGCCATTTTTGGTTGAAGGGTAGCTCACCCTTCTTGCTTCTTTGCTTGTAAAGGTTTTTGTGCCTTTGTTCATCACTTTCAAACCAACTTTTTTAGGCCTTTTAACCATTGAATTTTAGAGGTTTTTCAGTGGTAAAAAACTCATTTTGAATTCCAAAATTGGAGTGGTTAGCCTCCTCTCCTTGTGTCTTGTTTGCATGCCTAGTTAACTCAATGTATTAGCTTATTGTTTTAGCTTTTGTGGCTTAAGTCCAGCATGTTTTAGACTATATTTAAGGCTATTTTGCTTCTGTTTTTGGTTATTTGTCTCATTTGAGCCTTTCATGGCATGGTTGTAGTGTTAATTCCTTCATTAGCGTAGTGTTTTAAGGCTTTAACTATCATTGGTTTGAGTTGGTTTCATGTTTTAGTGCTTTTAGTACTCATTTTCAGCACCTAATCATATCTGCAACCTTCCTCCTTTCTTGGTTTTATTTTTGTTTTGAAAGTGGTTTAAAGCATGAAATTGAGATGTTTGTGCTTAATGGCTTAATCCCTTTTAGGATTCATTACCAATGGCACGAGGTCTCTTTCATGCCTAAAATAACCTTTGATTTGAGCTTTTTTTCTATTTAGAGGACACTCACTAATGGACTAAGTCATTAAGGAATGACTTGGTAATTAAAATGTGTAAACAAAATTGCAAATAAAAGAGGCAAGATAAGCATTCTTTGTATTGCATCGCATGTGTTCAAACCGGATGTTAGTTTGAATACAAGGAAAATGGGGCATTTCATACTCAAAAGTGATAAAATGTGCCACTTTCCTTGGTCTCCATTGCCCTTGGTCATGCATGATAGGGTGGTGGTCTTGTTGGTCATATTTGTGCATTTATCAAAATTATACAACTTGGATCTTTGGCCATCATGCAATGAACTTGCTTGATTGGTTGTTTTGGATCCAAATGTGACACTCCTTTGAGATTTTGAGATGATAAGGAAGGATACAGTACAAACAACTCCTTGGAAAACCCCCTTTTTGCTCTGTTTATGCACTATTGCAGCATGGTGATTGAATGCATCAGTGGCCGGCAGTGCATCATTTTTGGCCAGCAGATGGCCAGCAGTAGCCATCCATGGTCGGTAGGCCACTGATGTAAACCTCAACATGATTTTGGTAAGGTGAAGCAGAAAGGTTCTAGAAGTGTTCAACCCTGGAAACAGAGGCTTTCGAGAGCAAAACGGTGGTCTTCCCGAGCGAGAACTGAGCATGTGCATTTTTCACTTCCCGAGGCGGAGCAGTGGCAGCATAGTTTAATATCTTGAATACTTAATTCGTGTAAATTTGGGTTGTAAATTAATTAATTAGTTTACTAGTTAGTTAAAATGTTGTAATAATTAGTAATTAGCTTAGCTAGTTATTCATTTGGTTTGTAATATTTAGTCTAATTAGCTTAATTAGATTAGCTTTAGCTTAGCTTAGATTAGCTTAGCTCTTATTCATTCGGACCCTCCTTCGCGAGGGCGTAACGTTTTAATAAGTGTGCGTGCGTGTGTGTATGTTTTCCAACCACGTCTTTCTCCCTTTTTTTAATCACTTTTGATGGTTAGATTAGGGATCATATTTCAATTAGTATATCTCATGCTTGCATTCATTCATCTTGTCTTGCATGCACCGAGGCTCGGCACATCATTCAAACTGTATTGCAATTTCAATATCTTATTTGAATACGTGTTTAATCGCATGTTGTTCAAATCAATTCTTATGCCATATTAGAAGCCGAGCTTATTAATTGCATATTGCATGTGTTGCATTAGGCATCTTGTATAGTTAGGATCATGCATCTTTCTAACTAGTTTCTGTTTTGGCTTGAAGTACTAGGTGGGTTTTTACGCTTTAGTATACTTGCATAAGTGTGAATGTTGCCATGATTAGTATGCTTGCCATGAGGCTATCTACTTAAATGCTAAATTGCATGAATGCCTGTGGATGAAAGCTTGTTGTTTGAATCGGAACAATTAAACAAATGTGTGTTTTAAGCCCACTTTGTTGAGTGGCAAATCATGTTTTAAGCCCACTATGTTTGGTGGCAAATCCACAAACTTTAAGCCCACTTGAGGTGGCAAATTCAAACAATTTTTGTAAACAAACATGAGTTGAACACTACTAAAAAGAACACTTTTTGCGACCGCTACAAGCCGTCGCAAATAATAAAAATACAGTCGCAAAAAACCTTTTGCGACGGTCCATGCGACGGCAAATGGGGGTCGCGAATGTGGGGGTGGCAAATACTTTTTGCGACGGCAAAGCAACGGTCGCAAATTATTCGCGACCGCTATTTTGCCGTCGCAAAAAATAAAGAAAAATGCTAACATATTTTTTGGCAACCATCTTGTTACCGTCGCAAAAAAAGAAAAACAAAAAAAGAAGAAAAAGAAACATAATAGTGTAACGTTAAGCATTCTAGGAATAACAATGACAAGAATTCAAACAGTATAACATTATAGTTTAATCAGGCATTCCATTTGAGTCTTAAAATTGGAGCCATATGTAAAAGTTATTACAACTAAAAGCCTGGAAAAAGTTCTTTTATGCCATTTTAGACTTTAAAACATATTTGGGACTGCACAATTTCATATTAAAACACAGAATCCATCTTCATATTAAAAGCCCAAAACCCAAAGAATGTGAAAGTAACAATTTGCTGAAGAGAATTTCCCCTTCTTGATTGCCAACATGGTTCTTCGCTCGCAAATTTTGATCTGGAAGTCACTAAACTTGTCCAAGTTCATAAACATAAGGTCATTCTTCTTCGAGTCTAAACAACAACTCAACAAAGCATATTAGAAAATTATAGAGTCAAAAGAGCATATCAATGCTATGAAAATTGTGAGGATCTTTTGAAGTGATTTTCTTTGCACACAAGCAAATATTCCAAATCCACTTACAATTACAACTTCCCTAGTATCAAATTCAATATAGAAAGCAGATGTGAAACAATTGAAGAAAACCAGACTAATAACAAAATATATAAATCTAAAAAATCAATCTCTAAGACACAGACAGCGAGCCCACATCGAAACAATATGAGAAAAAAGAGTCACTCATAAAATTTTATGGATGACATGCAGGTTCGAAAAACAGTCAGATGAAGGTAAACTAACAAGGGTGAAGGATGTTTCTAACCATGGACAGGCAAATGACATATGGTAGTAGAAAGTAGAACCAAAACCAAAAAAAGCGAGAAAAAAAACATATAAAACAGAGAAAAATCAGGGAAACAATTCTCTCAAGCACTAAACTTCCAAAGGTGCTATCACAAACAAGGATATATTTGATATAAAAACAAGCTTCAAGTCACAACTGTACAATCAAGGTCTGGCTTGGAAGTCATTCTCCTAGAAAACTAATCAGAGCACATGCCATGATTATTAATTATTGTGACATTTTAGCATCATTATCCTGATAAGTATATCACAAGAGAACCAACAGAGGACTGCAAACCTGGAGGCTATGGCATCCCTCCAAGCACAGGAGCTCATAATGAATGTCCAAGCAATCAAAAGGGGTCCATACAACTGAAAAATCCACTAGTAGATCGGATAACTTGCAATGCTAATTCAGAACCCTGTCAATTACCAGTGAATCAAACCACAATTTATTGATTTATCATATAAATTAACCAAATTTATGTACATTTAGAATTTATTTCACACATAACCCAAGTAACATAGGAAAAGAACATACCTCTATCATCAAACCATAATGGAAATGAGTGGGAGAGAGACAAAGATGAGAGCTGCCAATACACTTGCAGAAATAACAAATTTCCATTGAATGAAGATCAAACATTTGAAAAGTCACCATTCCATATTACAAAAGAAGTTCATTAACATTTATCAGCCATTAATTGTAAAAACTTAAGATTGAATATTATGAAAATCAAAATAGACAGCCAGAAAGTTAATACATAATCCATCTTAAAGAAAACAAACATTAACATCTGGGTGTGCCATATTTGTATATACAGATATTTTTGTTTGTCCTAAAAGAGTGAGAAGATAGAGAAACAAAAATTGAGAAAATGAATTTATATATATACACTCACAATTTGTCTATATATATACATGGCTTTGACGACTCTGTTAATATACTCAAAGAGACTGACATTATGCGTTCCATCCTAAAAACTTCTTTTCATCCCAAATTTATCCCATAAGGAATTTAATTATATCTGGCATATTTAAGTTAAATATATCTGGCATATTTAAATACATCCATCAGTTTCATAGATGAACCAAGATTTAAAAAACTTCTTTTCATCCCAAATTTATCCCATAAGGAATTTAAATATATCTGGCATATTTAAGTTAAATATATCTGGCATATTTAAATACATCCATCAGTTTCATAGATGAACCAAGATTTAAAAAACTTCTTTTCATCCCAAATTTATCCCATAAGGAATTTAATTATATCTGGCATATTTAAGTTAAATATATCTGGCATATTTAAATACATCCATCAGTTTCATAGATGAACCAAGATTTAAAAAACTTCTTTTCATCCCAAATTTATCCCATAAGGAATTTAATTATATCTGGCATATTTAAGTTAAATATATCTGGCATATTTAAATACATCCATCAGTTTCATAGATGAACCAAGATTTAAAAAACTTCTACCTTCAATTATTCAAGATACTACTCACTTTGCGTCAAGGATAATTATTTAGAATTGAAGTCCTATTAATTTAGAATCTAAACAACCTATGTCTAGAAAAATGAGAACTCCAAGGCCAGAACTAGAGGATAAACAAATTTTTTTCAAATTCAACATGCCACAAGGACAACCGCTTTTAACCATTTAAAGATTATGACCCTTCTATCAAAATTTCACTGGTACAACAACATTATCCTCAATTTACAGGGAAGAAAAGTATGCATTACCTGTGTGTTGTTTTTAACACTCATCATCAGAACAGAAAGATGCCCAATGCTGAATTCCTCTTCCTCATTCTTGACCTGTCACAGACAGTTTCAAACAAATTTTATATCATAAAAGGAGCATAGAGGCAGAAACTACAGCAAATAAAAAATGTAAACAATAAATTAAAAAGTCTATTTAGCAGGAAGATGAAAAATGATGGGTAGGTCAAATTATACATATATATATAGCCTTCCACGTGCAAAAATATATTACAGTAATTAAAACAAAATGCTTCCTGCAAATAAAAAATTTAATCAGAAAACACATTCAATACACACCTCACAATAAAACATACATTGAAACCCCATCCCCCCTTTTCATTATTTTCTATAAACAAATCAAGTATTATTTAGTCAATAATTCATCAAATCAAAGGCAATATAAACCATATACTTTGGCAAAATCATGCTGTATGCTTAGTTAAAATTGACCTTCAATTCAAACCTAGTTGAGCACACATTGGGTTCCCTAAAAAAGTGAAAAACAGAAAGTACAAAGAAGGGGATGACAGAAACATCTTCCTCAAAAACGCAAACACAACATATATCCAAATATCAAGCTTTGTGAACCAATGAGATGGAGTTGGGCGAGCAAGTGCTTGCAAAAATGACTATTCTCAATTGGAAAAAAAAAAGGAGTATTGATACATTGCAAGCATAAGGAAAGATGAAAACATTACTACTACTAGGCAAATAACTGTAAATAAGATGAGTAATCATCTAAGTAATGAAATGGCAAATAATAATAATAAGCAGGACAACTTATAGTGGCATCCTCATCCATTGGATGACTGCAAAAAAACAAAATGCAATTTGTAACTTGCACCCAAGTTAATCATAGAAAAATGATACAGTAACAAAGGTAACACAATTCTCATTCAAAACATAATAGAGCATCCCAAGTACAATAATATATCCTTGTTATGGTCATACATTCTGCCTTTATTTGAAAACAATTTATTTATTTATTTATTATTTATTTATTTATTTTTCTGTACTTAGCATAAATTACCTTGTAAAACAATGCCATTTTCACATCGAACAACAAATTTCAAGAAAAGGTTGTGCTAACAGCCCTATGATTGTCATTTAAGGTGGAGATAATGAGAAAATAATCAGAATTCCAATTCAAACCACATATTCTTAAAGGAATTTCTATACACTTTTCAAAAGGCACATATTGAAAACCAAATAATACTTCTGAGCTTCATTAAACTAAATTGATATTGAAAACTGTAGAGAGAGCTTGAAATCAAAATTAAATGGAGCAATATAGAAATCACTACTGAGTTCTCCAATTAATGTTTATCATCTAAGTAAACCAGAATAAGACAGTAAACTTTACCTGAGTGCAAACCATAGTAAAGGCCTCACACTGAGTAGGGTTCACTTTCCCCTGAAATAGAGTGCTCAAACAAAATAAGATTTATCAAGTGGAGGAATAGGACTTCAATCCTGAAGCAGTGTGCAAACTATTGTCTTAATCCTGCTTAACTTAAATTCTTTAGATTCTAAATTCTCTCTCCACAATTCTAGATTAAAGTTTACTCCTCTTATGTCATCAACTAAAACTATACTGTCTACAAATAATACAATATCCTCTTGAATGTTCCTAATGGATTCATTTATAACTAACGGAAAAAGAGATAAGGATTTAGTATTGATTTTTTGATGTCAACAACTTTACTGCATATTTTCTTTTTCTTTAAAAGGACTTTGAAGCCATTATCACTTATCAATTGACTTCATAAAAAGTTAAATATTCATTTAACAACACAAAACATGGTAATCAAACAGCATACTCATACAATTTGATCTGGCTTATAAGAGATCCCATTCTCTTCTACTAATCAAATCACACTGAAAACAGAATCCTAAAATTGACATCTTTATTGGACATTCAAAACACAAAATAAATAAATAAAGAAAAAAAAAGAGCCTAATTAGGTATCCAAAACACAAAGCAAAGCACTAATTCAACATAAACAATAAACAATTCATCACAACCAACAATACACAAGGCTAATTTATACTAAATTGAAAAAAAGAAACATCAATGGAATGGCCAAAAACCTAATAGCCTAAATTGAAGGATACATATGTTGAGGCAATGTGTACTTTTCAAGAGATTGATTAAGAAGGCAAATGAGAAAGAGATGATGATGATCCTATTATTACCTCTAATGAAAGATTCAGCAGTGTTAGTTAACTCTCATCAAAGACCTCGTACAAAACGAGTGAGAGAGAAAAATCCACGAACCTTCAGTCAACAAACCCTCAGCTATTATTCCATCTTCTATTGATCTATAACACGCTAAAAAATCCCCAAATTTATCAAATTAAAATCAACAGTGACTCAATGCTTAACACAAAAACACACACGCACACATATATATATATATACACACATTTCGAGAGTAGAGATTTGAAGCAAAATTGCAAACCAAAGAAATATGAGATTGTTGGAGTCGAAGAGTTCAAGATCTTGAGGAAGTTGAGGACGTCTACTTCGATTCTTGCTCAGACCTCAACAGAATAAATTCAATTTCAAACATTGTTTTTCACAACATATACATAATATATAGAGGTACATATACATGTGTAATAGAGGTGCTAATTTGAGAAGGTCAAAGGAGAGAGAGCACGAGATTGAGAGAAAGAGAGAAAGCGAGATTGAGGGAGAGAGAGAGAGAGAGAGAGAGAGAGAGAGATTCATACCAGTCATATTACTGTGAGACCGATAGAAAGAGAGAACGAGAGAAAGAGAACAATCGGTGTTTGTGGAGGGGCTAGGGCAAGTATAAAGAAAATGGGAAAATAAATAGAAGAAAATAAGGGGGTAAATTAATTATTTGCGATGGCTAATCAGATGGTCGCAAATTATATAGTAGTAAAAGGTCAGTTTTCTAGTAGTGGAATTGTTCTAAATTGAGCAAACAAGTCTATACTTGCTTGTACGCATTACATAGTAAAGCCAGTTTAATAACCGGAATAAGAACACATAATGTTTATAAAAGATCATATCATGGTTAGTAGAGGCCGATCTTTGATTGGGCGAGCAAGGGTTCTCAATTCATGACTTTCTCCTCTCATACCTAAGTTCCCGAGCCGAGGCAACTTCGTGATGACGGACACGTGGCCTTTGGCACGAGTCATGGTTTTCCTAAATTTTTCCAAAATAAAACATTTAGGTGGTGACTTTGTATATGGCAAAGCAGTCCAAATTTTGGCATTATTTGATTTAAAATCGATTTTCCAAAAAGATTTGATGGATTTGGACTCTTTGGTGTTTATCAATTTCACATTGCACTTGTGATACTAGATTTAGAACCATGGGAGTCCGAATTGTGAGGCCTTTCATTTCAAACCTTCGAAAAAAGGGGCGCGAAAAAAGGCGCGCCACACCTACGTATCCTTTTGTAGGGAATCAAACCAGCGTAGTTATGGGACAAGATGCAAATAATATGCACGAAAAATAAACGTTAAAAGCTGGACTCATACGCCTCTCAAAGCCAGCTATTTGAAAACTCATGATGCTGCAAGATGATGCAATAAGCAATAGTAGATGCGATAAGCAATAACAATTGTAATCAATTGCAATGAGCAATAACAAATTAACAACATATGAATGAGCCTCAAGCTTAAACCGAAATAGGTTACACGTGGAAAACAAAACGCGCACTCTAACCATGCCGAAACCATGAAAAGAGGAGAGAGAGAGAGAGAGAGAGAGAGAGGAAAAAAACTGCTTAAGGTCGCGTTTCATGCATCCTGAGATAAAGACCGCTCAGGGTCGCGTTTCACGCGTCCTGAGATACTCTAATCACGCTGCAATCGTGAGAAGAAGAGAAAAACCACTCAGGGTCGCATTTCACGCGTCCTAAGATAAAAACTGCTCAGGGTCGCGTTTCACGCGTCCTGAGATAAAAACCGCTCAGGGTCGCATTTCACGCATCTTGAGATAAAAACCGCTCAAGGTCGCGTTTCATGCGTCCTAAGATAATGGCAAAAGGTACGAGCTTGTACCATATATGCACAATGTAATGAAAGTGTATGATAGATGCACGAGGTGAACAGGTGGCATAAATGCACAAAGTGAACAAGTGCGATAGATGCACGAGGTGAACAGGTGCGATAGACGCACAAAGTGAACAAGTGCGATAGATGCACAAAGTGAAAAAGTGCGATAGATGCACAAAATGAACAAGATTATAAGTCAATACAATGACAATGCACGTTCTATGCAAGATAGACAACTGACGTATGATGTTAATTGC